GCGATACTGTGGTCACTCTCCATGTAGCATCAATTATGCTAATGCTAGCTGTCACGTTCTCTCGTCCTGGCCCCACCCACTTTGATGCATTTTTCAAATTTCGCCTTGGGGCGGAGTTATCTTTTCACAGTGGAGTAAGATACACTTTAAGAATAGCTTATTTAACACCCCAGTGTTTCACTTAATCTCTAAATGCCATCAACATCGACCAAATAACAACTCAAAATTAGATTTAGATTTTTTTTTGGTGGAAAATGATCCTCACCTCCCAGGTGTCCACTTGTTGGACATTAACTCAGAGACACGTCGACCGGCCGGGGCAATCGAAGCACCACGTCAGAATACCTGTTTAYATTAGTCTCCGTGGCAACCACACCAGGTGACTCACGTCTCTGATGGTCTTGGAGGGTCTCCACTCAGACCAACACATGAGAAACGATCCCTGTGGTCCCTGGTTTTATTCTTGGACAGAGGATYGAAGAGTTATTTTCACTCGTTCATGTCATTCTGACCGGCATCCATCAGATCATCTTTCAAATAATAATTAAAAACAGCTCTGTCTCATCAGAGGACTGTCTCTGAGCAGCAGAAACCTAAAGCTTTTTCTGCTTTTTATACACCAGACAGATACAGKACAGAAACTGGGTGTTTCTATTTTGTGCATTATTTAAGAAAATGTTTAATTTTCACCTAAAACACCAATAAAAACAGTTTGTTGTGAACGGCAGCTGTCACTGTGAGAGAGAACCTTTAATTTATTTAACTTGTCGCTCGTTTACAAGGTTCTCTTTTGTTGTTGTTTCAAAAAGGAACTGAAAGGAACCAGGTTCCCTCTTCAGATCTGATGAAACATAAAGCTGCAGCCTTCAGCTGAGTGACGTTCAGAGTGACATGATTATTCAGTTATTTCAGGAGACAAGTCTAACACTTCACACCTCTTAGCTGCTAATTCAGAAAATTAAAAATTACCTGAAACTTGAAGTCTGTTCTGGTTAGAGAGCAGAAATCTGTTTAACGTTGTTCTCTCAGGAAAACGACAGTAAAGTTTAGTCTCTGCAGGGTTTTAGTGTTTGTCTGCAGGAAGACAACAATACAAGTAATAAAATCTGAAGTGAGATTACTGGAGCCTAATCCTGGTCCTGGACACCTTTCTTCTGAATAGAATCACCAAACTGTATTTATTAAACTGTATTTATTAAACTGTATTTATTATAGTTGTGTAAGAAAATATCGATACACTGAAATATCG